CAAAGCTCTGCTATTAATGGCTGACTTCACAACTACTGTGCTGCCCATACTTACAGAAAAAACAGAACACATTAAGGGAAAGCCATTAGCAAATCTACAGACTACATGATTCTGTAAAAAACTGCTGCAGTTCAGACCCAAACACCCAGACTTACGTGGGTATTGAGGCGATAGGACATGAGCTCAAACTCCCCATCAGGTGGAATGAAAGAAATGGTCCTGTCGTTCTCAAAGCGAGAGAGACGAACGCACTGATGGAACTTCACATCTTCCAGCTCTACCGATTTACTTTTGCCACCTAGCAGCAAACACACATATCAACACTGCAGATCGCTGCTCCCATTGCATGAGGTCACACTGCAGCATCATGTAGCAGGGCAGATCCCTGCTGATATCCTCCTGGTTCAGCCCAGTAGTTTTTCTATCTCTCCCAAAGTCCCAGCAGACGAGGCAATGAAGCCCAGATGGTTTCCACACCCACTGTGGTATTCCATCTTCTCTTGGTATTGGCACACAAGACCTAACATGCTTTTCTGCATAGACAACACCAGTCTTTTCATCACAGAATCAATCCTTTCACTTGAACCCCACCTAAGTTTGCAGAGAACACCCATCACAATTCTGAAGGTATTGCTGAAATACTCACGGCCTGTGTTATCAAAGAGAACTTTGTCATTTAAACCAAGGCGAAGCTCTGGCATTCCTGAGAGAAAGACTCTCATCTTAATGGACCCAACTATTTCACTCCGTAATACGTTTCCATTGGCACTGACCTGAAGGGCAATGAAATAAAAGATAAAGGTTGCTGACACGATATGATGTGAGATCAAACTGCAACCACACTCCGTCCTCAGCCCCCAGGCCTCCATGGGTGCCTTTCTCCCGAGCAACAACCCAGCACAGTACAGTCAGACCAAGGACAAGGCAGGATTAGACTGAAGGAGGCAGGAAGGATGTGTCAGAAACTCAGCTTTGGGGCTGCTGAGCACAGAGCACAAATTCCAGTAAAGGATCATTTATTTACCTATGGATGTCATTATAGATTATCAGTCCTAAGCACAGACAGCATCCAGGGCACTTATTGTGGTTAGGCTGATTTTTTATTATATCCTTTAGGTTTTCAGACAGTAAGTTCTTCTCAAGACTTCTACTAATAATTCTCATTAAAAGTTCAAGTAAAAGGTACCCACCAAAAGGTTAACAGACTCTATAACATCCAGGAACACTTCATTCTTCCTATATTTTATCCCTTCTGATCTCCATGAAACAGCATTTGTAACAGTGGCAGGTGGACGTGGAGCTCCAGTTTCAAGTTTGTGACCCTCCTGAGTGATGTACCTTTATAAACACATAATTAGAACAAAAAAGAAATGTTTGCAGCATCTTTTGTATCAGATTAACATCACCAATAAATCAGTTGGATTTACAAAGCTACACTTTACCAAGTATTAAATATTTTGATAACTAGAGGAGGAAGCCAAAGCATTTGTTTGCATATAGAATATGTAAGACTTTCCCAAGGACTTACAAGTGTAAGCAGTACAGACAGATACTTACTCTTGTAAAATTTTGCTATCAGTGGTTTGTGGGTATCCAAAATCCATAAGCTCATCTAACAACTCATAAATAATAACAAAATTATCCCTAATGCTCTCTTCTTCCAACTCCTTGAAATATTCAGAAAAAACCTGAAACACCAAAAACAGAGGGAGGAGAAAAAAGGACATCAGCTGAGGAACTACAGCACATTCTGAATGTATTCCTATACCTAAGAAGAGTTTTGGGGAAAAAAATAAAAAATAAGAAAATCACCAAAATAAAACCTATAATTCCTAAAAACCTTTTTGTTCAGATAAGCAGCAGGAAACCCACCTCAATTAGGAGAGAGTTACAGAGCCCTCAGAATAACTCTGATGATTACAAAGCATATTAACATTGGGGAAAACACTTGTGATGCCAAGTCCAAACTAACCAAACACAGAATCTACAGATGGCACGACTCATGCATCAACGTTTTCCTCCACATTTTCAGGTCTTGTGCAACTTCTCACAGCACCGTGTCACATCCTTGCTACTCAGTTATAACATAGCAATTCCATTATTAGCAGTTAGGAAGACTTTTCTATAAAATAGTCAAATATAAAGGAAAAATACTATTACTACAGCTTCTTTTTAATAAGGTGAAAGCTCTATACAATTTTATTAGATCCCACTAACAAACAGATGGGAGTTACATCTGCAACTTCCTACTCACCTGAACTACTTTATATAAAAATGAAAACACCAGTGATACACAAGCATTCTTCTTAGAAGTTGCAACAACTAATGAAGGATGTTCAGGAACACGCATTCAAAGTCATCGTGGGATGAAAAAAATTTACTGAATGTGTTTTTAAAAGCATTGTGAAAGGGGCAGCCTGATCTGCTGCCTGATTTAGTGGTGCGCAGCCCTGGCTGAGGCAGCAGGGTTGGGACTGGATGATCTTTGAGGTCCCTTCGACCCAAGCTGTCCTGTGATTCACTCAATGATCTGTCTGCAGCACAAAGGATACGATAGAGGTTGTTATGTTTAATCCACATGAAACGAACTCCTCCGTGTGCCAGAATAGGAGAAAGCGTTCCCTCTTCTTCCTTTTCCATAAGGATTGGCATAAAATGCTCCACCTCCGACATGTCCACATCCCCACGGTAATTCCGACAGATGAGAACCTACGGGAAGAACAATTCCTTACACTTCTCCTTCGAGACATGAAGTCACCATGCAAGACCAGCACATGAGATACTTAAAGAGCCTCTTTAGCTGAAAAACCCCAACACCAAGCTTCAGTCAGGTCTACGCATCCTACAAACACAAAACAAAGAACCAACACACGTTATGATTCGAATGCAAATCCCCACGTTTGCAGTCGTATCTCCTAGCGTTACCTCTCACATACGGCTGCAGACACCCCGTTTAAGACGGAAAAACAGGTCACTCTCCTGGGACAAACCGCGTCCCATTAGGGCGGAGATTAATTACCCCAGGCGGGATGCTCGGGAGCCCCGCAGGCAGGGCCGCTCCCCGACTCCTCCTTCAGCACCCGCGAGGAGCGGACACGGCGGGCCCGCCTCACAGCTGGGTGCGCAGCGCCGGCAGCAAACAGCGGGCGGGAAGGGGAAGCGGCGGCCGCAGGGCAGCGAGGCCGGGGAGCCCCGCCGTGCCGGGCCCTCGGAACCCAGCGCGCGCCAGACGCTCTCAGCAGCTCGGCTCTCGTGCAGCCCGCAGCCGCAGCGCGGCCTCACCTTCCCCTTCAGGTCCAGCACGTAAACGGCGCTGGCCGACATCGCGCCGCCCGGGGCCCCCGCGCCCGACCACAGCCACGGCGACTTCCGCTTCCGGCCGGCACTTCCGGCGGGAAGCGGCTGCGCGAGGCGCGGCTGCCGAGGTCCGGCAGCGCGGAAGGATACGCGTGGTGACCCGCCGGCAGAGGAAGAGCGCTTTACCGGCTGTGCCCTGCTGTTAAATAGTCCGCGGCCGGCTGCGGTCCGCGGAGGAGAGTTGGGAAGGCTGAGGAGCACGGGGGGATCAGCGGTAGCGGAGGGAAAACGCTTGGGCTGAAAAAGTGCGTAAGGATTTGTGATGTGATTCACATCACTTCTGAGGGAGGGCTGTGAGTGTCAGCGCACACGGACTGCATGCAGAGCACTGCCCCTGCTGTGCGGGCAAAGGAGCACCAAAACAATGGCTGAAAGCAGCGTTTTAATAAGTTACATCAAAGATACGAGGGTTTTAGAATACAGCAGAAACCACTCCCCCCCAACTCTGCGCGATTTCGGATAGGAATTACACAGTTCTGCAATTCATGAGAGCAGCTGACACAACGTAATGCTGCCATAGAGAATCCTGCTCCTAACAAGACCTGCTGGCATAGGACAAATAGAGGAACATTGCCTGTTGTCTCACAGCAGTTGGGTTTGGCCTTAGTGTGGCTTTGAGCACTGAAAAACACCCCTCTGCACCTCCATAAGTCAGCAGTCAAGAAGAGACTTTGTTGAGTATTCTGAAACTGAAATACAACAGCACAAGGTGATAAATGTTCCGAAGATGCATTGAATATTCAGTACCAAGAACACAGAGGTTTACACGGCAGCCAAGTTTGACGTAAGCAGAACTCCCCATCCAAACGCCGCCGTTCACTTGGTCCAGCTGACTTTGGGAATGTCGTAGTGCTCGGTCAGGGTGTCCAAGTGCCTGTTGAAGTCCTGAGGGACAGAGGAGGCACAAAGCACTCAGGATCGGAGCATTCACCGACGCTCAGCCCTCCTCACAGCGCCGCGTTTCCCCTGCGGCTCCGCCCGCTGAACCCCGGCTGGCTCCACTCACCTCAACTCTCTGCTTGTGTGTTTTCGAGGCCTTCTTCAGGATCCTCTCCATTTGCTGTTAGGAGACACGACAGCACCGTTATCGGCGCGGGGTTCCGAGCCCGCCCCACATCCCGTGTGGGCCGGGCTCGGCAGGCCGCCCTACCCGCTTCTCCTGCATCTTCTCGTAGGCCACTTGTGCCGGGGTCCGCTTGTCCAGGCCGCGCTTCTTCTCCTCTTCCTGCTTCTTGCCGCTCACGATCTGCTCCAGGATCTGGGCCTTGTCCTTCGCTTTTTTCTTCTTCCTGCGGACAGACGCCGCTCAGCGCCCGGCCCCGGGCCCCGGCCCAGCTCCCGGTTCCCCTCCCCGCCCCGCCGCTCACCGCTTCCCAGCCCCCGGCCCCGCGCCACCGCCCTTCAGCCGCAGCGGCCCGCGCTGCACCGCCTCGTATTCCGCCATCTCTCGGCGGCCGCGCTGAGCAGCGCCCTCTGGCGGCAGAGCGGGCAGCGCGCGAGAGCGACGCAGCCACGGCGCTGAGGTAAAAAAACGCTACAGTCCGACCGCGCGCCCCGAGCTGCCCGGCCCGACCCGCCCCGTTCCGCTCCGAACCGACCGAAAGCCAGTCGCTGCCGCTTGTCTTAAAGGCGCCGGGGTGAGCTGTAGTGCTGCTGCCAGTTCTGCCCTCGCGTTTCACATTTAACTCACAGTTCTGTTCTTAAGTATGAACGATGCATTTTCTCATATTTTCAGTGCAAAGCCATATACGGGCCTGCATATATGTCAGCTTGTCACACTAATGGCCATTTACTAGAGATAATGAGTGCTAATGGAGGAACAGGGGGCCAAGAGGATTGTACAGATGTTGCCCCAAGTACAGCTGACATCAGTGCGTGATGTGGAGAAAAACGAGACAGGAGAGGCAGCGCTGGCAACACTGCGAGCAGCTCCGAGCGCTCGGTGCGAGGAGGGGCATTGCCAGTTGTCGGGCAGTCTGCCGTACGAAGGCACGGAGATGTGCTGCCCACCAGAAGCATCAGCGCGGCTCAGTGCTGTAACATGAGGCTCTGTGCACACAGGCAGGTGAGTGATGCTGGATAAGAGCCGTGAGTAGCCAGACTGGAGATGTGATGAAGTGCTCCTATGACGGCTGTTTGTGGTCCGTGGAATAGGGAAGCTGGTTATTTGATCCTCTGCTTTACCCGAACCTCATTGTTGCAGCTTTTAATATCTGGATATCCAGGCCTCCTATAAAAGTGACTGAGGAAAGAATGATGGGACAAGAATCAGCGTTCAGAGCTGGACATGGGCAACAAGCAAACCATTTTCACTCCAGAGCAGCTGGATGCATATCAGGTACAAAATGAACCAAGTGAGTCTTTAAACAGAACGCTGAATAATGGTGTTGCTGCTGTTTTTTTTAAACAACCTCTTTAAAAATTAGTAACTAAGAGCATTGAATTACAGTGAAGATTTTAGTAAGATACTTTGGTAAGATTCTTACATCAAGAAAGGTTATAAAGTATTCCTAATTATGTACAAAAAGAAAGAGTACTGATGGTTGGCCGCGTTATCATTCTGTTTGAGTCACTGTAGTGGAAGAGTCAGGGCCAATGAGTGCTAAAAAGTGCCATTAATATGATGCCTTATTTCACAGGACTGCACATTCTTTACAAGGAAAGAAATTCTGAGGTGAGTCTTGTGTGTTCTGTGTGTAAAATACAAAGATTGCTACAAAATAGATTATATAAAAGATGAAGTACATTTAAAAGTATTTTTAATGCATTTATACAAAATTGAAGTCATACATTGGACAATGTGAGCTTTTTTCTTTTTTTTTTTTTAATGTACAAAAACTACCTATGCAGTCTATCATAAATGAATCCAGAGTTTCAAATTTTCTGTGAAGGTAACATCTCTATACCATAACTATAACAAGGTGTATTCTAGTGTATATTTTGCTGCTGACACCCATGTGCCCCTCATTTCGTTTTAGGACAAGTGCTTCAAAGCGTCCTGTTGTACCTCGGGACATGTTGCCTGTTTTAAGAAATCATGAATGATTGTATCAAATTTTATTCACATTTCCTTCATGTAAATAATCAGCAGCAGTTACTCGGAGGCGCTTTTTTCTCAAAGCCTTTGTGAACTTCATCAAGTGCTGCGTTCAACCTCTGGCCAAAGGATCTGGTGTTCTGTTCCTATAGGACTAAGACTTTTCACTGAAAACAACTCTTTGGTTTCTGCACCTCTCAAGCAGTCATCAGGCATTGCTTGCTAATTTCTCTGAAGCATGGGGTATGAATGACAATTTTGTACAGAATATCCCCCTTTAGAACTTTGATGTCTGTGTATGAATTAAATATTGAATAAAATACAAAAGATTCTGTAATAACTGAAATTTAAATCTGCCTTTCCTTGTAGTAAGTAGATGCCAGAGCCATAAGTGTGTCATGAATAAGACATTTATTATTGATAAGAACCCCTTTTAAAATTCTAACCTATTGTTTTGTTGATAACAGCTATGAATGGGATCTTCACACACACAAAGGGATGAGGAAAATAGCAAGCTGACAAAGTGCTGATACATTCAGATGACTGTGCATACATTCTGTCTCCCGAACCTGACCGCTATGGAAAAAATAGAGATACCTGTGGTGAATGAAAACCTGTTAATCTGTTCTGAAAGCCCGAGGGCTTTGTGTTTACCACCAGTTTCACTGTGCTGCTTTTTTAACGTTGTCTCTTCCACTGACGTCAACTACAGAGTACAATAAATGTTATTTAGGGACTGGTTCCATCCTGGCAAAGGATGCAGAGTGTGAAGAACAGGTAAGGCAAACAGTCGTTCTCAGAGGTCTGACAGCTTGTTCCCTCAGCCAGCCTTTCTCTCTTCCAGGCTGTTCCACAGATACCGAGATCTGGCCCCGCAGCTCGTCCCACTCGACTACACCAGCAGGCCCACGGTGACACTTCCCTACCAGCTCATTGGCAGCATGCCGGAGCTGAAGGTACGCAGCAAGGAGCACAGCTGGAATCAAGTGACACAATTCAGTTCAATCGACCATTTTTAATAATTCATCCAGTTCTAATTACTAAGGGGATGAAATACAAATAAATTTTGCTTACTAAAGTCAAGCCGTTCTGGAACCTTCTAATGATTTCCTGAAAACACCCTGAAAGTGCACAGAGGTTAAAGAAGGCAGCAGCTGTGCCTAACAGATTAGACAAAAACATAATAGCAGAAAAAAGGAGTATTTGCCTGACGAAAAGGGGTTACCAGAAAAATTACTGGGCACCAGTTTTCTTATCTGCACTGAAATAATGTCATAGGGACGACCTTCCCTCAGTGCTGTGTTCTGTTTCCCAGGACAATCCGTTCCGCCAGCGGATCGCAGAGGTTTTCTCAGAGAGCGGAGATGGCAATATGACTTTAGATGACTTTTTGGACATGTTTTCTGTGCTGAGTGAGATGGCTCCCAGAGACCTGAAAGCTTATTATGCTTTTAAAATTTATGGTGAGTGACCCAGGCAAACAGAACCAAAACCAAAAAAAGGGAACGTTGAGGAAAAGCTGCAGCTGCGCACAGGAATGCAAAATGATCCATTTTGTGACTGTAATGGTTTCTAGTTAGGTATGCCTTCATACAGCATTTCTCTCTGCTTACATTTGAATGCCCGCTCTTTCTCCTAGAAACTTCTGGACCCTATCATCCTATTGTCTCTTATTTATTTGGGATTAGGATTTACTAAAAAATTTGCAACCTGAAAGTATCTTCAGCTTTCAAGAACTGATAAAACATTTAAGAAACAGTTCTGTCTGAGAAGCTGCTTTGAAAAGTGAAAGGGAAGGGATTTGGCTGCCCACAAAGCGGTGGGGTTTGGGCTGGGTTTGGCTGTGAGGGGAGATCACGCCTCCAGCACTTTTCTCTAAGGGCAAGTTCATTTGTTGTTACTTTCCCCAGGATCAGCCACAGCCAAACAACAGACAAAGAAACCCCACAACCAATCGAAACAAAACCCACAAAACAACTTTTTTTTCTTACATTAAGTAGTACACGATTGAGCACAGCCTTTAAGTGAACCCCACCAGAACTGAGCCGTTATCTTCCCTTCTGCTCTTTCGTGCTTTTAGTTCAGTAGTGCTCATTTGCTAGAATAGCTTAATTATGGCTTGACTATAATTAACTACTGCGCTATTTACGATTGTTACCTTTGGTACAACAGGGAGACACAAGATTGTCATTTTGTTGCTACATGTTTATACCAACACACATCACTTCCCTTCTCGTTTGAACGCTCTAAAACGAATCCTTACTTGCCTGGAAACCAAACCCTTCCTATTGGCTCTTGGCAGCCAGCCATGTCGAGTGCTGTTTTTCTCACTCTGAATTCTTTTTGTTTCTTCTGACAGATTTTAACAATGATGATTACATATGCAAATCAGACTTGGAGAAAACTGTGAACAAATTAACCCGCAATGAACTCACCCCAGAAGAAGTCAGCCTTGCATGCGAGAAGGTGATTTATGAAGCTGATCTGGACAACGACGGAAAGCTTTCTTTGGAAGACTTTCAGCATATGATAATTCGAGCTCCGGATTTCCTCAGGTAATATTGGATTTCAGTTTGTAACACCCAACTGCTCTACTGGAAGCTGTGAAACACACTTTGGCTGCTCAGTGGTTACAGATCCCTGCTCTTCCCCAGCAGTTTTGGTAGAGTTGCCCACCACAAAGACTGGGAAAACACGCATGAGAAAGCATGAAGGCTTGCATTTGTATTTCACTGTTGCTTTTCGAACCTCCTGTGTCCTTTTTACATGATAGAACCTCCTACTAACTGAGAAAGTAAATATTAGCATGCAGGCTCCATTGATAAATAGCTGAGAAAAGCTCATTCAATGTGCAATGTGGCCCAAGCATGCTTTCTGATATATAAAACAGCATTCCAAATCTTGCATTTATTTAATGGAACAATTCTTTGCAAGTGATTTGAAAAATAGTTTCCAACTTAAACTACAGTTTTAGGAGTAATGACAACGAATCCCTTTGAATGGAGTAAAGTGATTCGTAAGTGATTTTGCTTCCTTTTTTAACAGCACATTTCACATTCGAATCTGAACGTAGCAAAACATAAAGATGAGAGCGCTGCTTCTTGAACAGTTTGGAAGTGGAACCAGTCACAGAACTCACCTTAAAAGGAAAAGTTCATCTTTATTGAATTTTCCCTGTCACTCCACAGCAGTGTTTCTATGAAATTGCCTGTTCCCACCTTCTTCCCTCACCAAAGCAGTGATGTGGAAAAAAATGTGTTTTTTAAGCTGGGGAACCACCAGGTATGGGGCTGTATGAAATTACAGCTTCTTAAACAAAGGCCCTATGAAAATACCCCTATATCCATTAAAAACCCCATGTTATGGACTCATGCTGCATGCAGGAATCTCTGTACTGTTCCTACTGAACTTCTCCTTTTCCCCTGAGACAAAGCTAGCTCTAGGTTTAGGAAAACCTCCAGAACGTGGTTTTCCTCAGAGAACACAGACTGAGAAGGTGCTCAGCTCAAGTTCTGAGGTTCAGAGAATGCCACCTACTTCAAAAATAGATTCAAAAACAGGATGGTTAATCTAAACTGTGTAACCAGCTCCCCTGATGTCCTTTAACAGCCTTAACAAATGATTCAGTCAATCAACTGGCCCAACTATTCTAGCGTGTCACTGACACCTGATGCAGGTTCTAAGATGGATAAAGGGAAGATTTATTCAGAATTTACAATTTACAACTTAAACAACAAAAAAAAACCAACAAAATCTATCCTGTGTTCTTGGCACTCTTCCCTGTTTTTGGCAATAGTTTTCCACAAAAGGATCTGTGTTTTAATGATGAACCAGACTGATAAACTGATTTTTTTAAGTTCTCTTTTCATAAGAAGTTTATTTATGCAGTGCTCAGGGTCCTGTACAGAGTAAAAACATACATACTGTAATAAACAACAGTTCTGTCTTTCATACAAACATCAAAATCAATGAGAAGTGTTTAAGAAAGCAGTGGTAACGTGGGAAAGGTGGCAGCCAAGAGTGGGCCTTCTAAGTGCAGTTTACAGTTGCTTATGAAAATATTGCGAGTGTTCAATTCCCCTCAGAACGAAGTCATGAGTCCCAGCTCACGTTCAGCTCAGAGCTCAGTTCCTGCAGGGGCTGGAGAGCAGCCTGCTGCACTTTGATCAGCTTCAGAAGACAAAAACTCCAAGCATCAGTGAAAGAAATGGGTCAAAGAATAAAGCAGCCTGAAATAATCAGACTGCGATTACCATTAATGTTCCATCGAACAGAGCTTTATTTCATCTATAAATGAAGACACACCTCAGTCACCATTCTTTCCCAACCCCTGTGAACTTGTAGCAGAAATGGAGACCATTCTTTCAGCGGTCATTTGTCCATTTCCCCTCCAGCATAACCTCCATCCATTTCATGTCCAAGAAAACAAGAAATCCCGGCAGCTTTTGAGCATGAGCATCAGCCAAACCACCACCACAGCAATAAAACCCCTTACAGTTGTCAGTAAGATGATTACTATCCCACACGAAAGGAGACCAAATAATTCCCAGCAGCAGCAATGAGACTTACAATAATCCATAGGATTTATAAATCTGAGGCTGAAAGCCTGATGGCAGCACGAGGCTCTGATGTCGTGGGACATGAGATGTGCAATCAGCACAGGAACTGGGCAGGCAGCGTCAGCACTAAGCAGCAGTTCCAGCATGCACTGCAAATCAGCTGACAGGTCTGCACCCAAAGGGTGAAATCTATCCAGCATGCTGCAACCAGCCTCAAAAGTAAGGTCAACCACAGAATGCTACGATCCTCATCGAAGTAAAGGAATTTGAGAACATGCTCAAAAATGGGTTTGTTTCTCTACAAACCAAGTGTTAACTGATTACCTGGCATTTTAGTGGTATTTAGATGTAGAAAATGTGTGGCAAGCACATTCTCAGCTTTTCAGATCTACTTAAATTCCTGTTTTATAGATTCTGTATCCAATTTCAGATTTGTTCTTAGTTAACGAAAGCTTACATACAAATGCATTCCTGCATTCTGTGACACAGAACCTTTTTGAACATTGTGTTTTTGTAATATTCGTGCTTAAGAAAACACAGTAATTAAATTACGTGATGGAAACGTCAACTACATGTTGTATTTATGCCAGATTTGATGTCAGCATTTGGCAACACGCAGCCAAGCAGAAATGCCACTGCGGCGTCTTTAAGCTCTCCCTGCCCCATACTTGCATTCTAGGTTTCATATTGTTTGCACTGATTCCATTTCTGCATGGAGTCTGCAGACCGCAGGAGCACAGCGATGGCTGCAGGTCGCAGTGACTGCACAAATTCCTGAGACTGGGCAGTAACACAGCTGTTCACTGAGCAAAACCCATCGGTTCAGAAAAGGAAATCATGCTGTAAGTTGTATTATATCGACACGGGCAACAGCCAGCGTAAGTTTGACCAAAGGTGTTCACAGACAAAGAGCTTTTAATGCAAAAGGGTGACATAAGATTTAGCAAATGGAGGCTGACAAACGATGTGGTTTGTAAGTTAATGCGGTACTTCTTTCCTATCTCAAGGCAAACAACTGAGATGCTGTCGTGGCAAGGCCTGCTGTCGTGGTGCACAGCTGACAGCAGGGCAGACTGAGCACTGATTTGCCCAGTCACCTCCTGAAGTAACTCTGGCTGCAACATCTGGCTACATTAAAAGAGGTGGCTGGATGTGAGACAATCCACGTGTACCACTAAGCCAGAAACAAAACATGAGGCAGATCTGATTTAAGCACCTCAACTCGGCACCGTAAGTCCTTGCAGTCTTTTTTTCTTAAAAAAAACCCCAAACATTCTTATCTCAGGGTAGCAGCAGTGCTTGTCCAGGCTGTCCCTCTGTAGGAACTGTCCTTTGAAGCACCAGAAGGTTCTTCAGTGCCTTTATGTGATTTTATCCTACCAGAACATCTGTGTCCCACTGACTGTGCTGCACTGTCACCAAGTCCTCACGCTAAAAAGCCACAAGCAAACAAAACAAACATTACAAGGTTCTGCTTGGAGGAAGGTTTCACATATAAATTTAATAATGAACAGAGCTCATTGTAATCTGCTATTAAAAACAAGTTGGTGGCATTTAAAATGCATTTTTAAGCCAGTAACTCACACAGTACAATTTCCTTTTTCCTTTTAGAAAGCAGGCAGTATTCCTGGTGAGCTCAGCTGCATGCTGCAGATAAGTTTAAAAATCTATCAGATTTATAATTAACTCCAGTAACACTTAGGAGTGCTCCTCTGAGGCCGAGACAGATTACCAGAAAACTGAAGAAAACAAAGCTGGTAAGTAATCATTATTAAATCATCAACTTTAAAGTGAGCTTTAATTTTATCCTTAAGTGCAGTTTTCAATGTAAACAAAGCAGCACACGAACAGTTCCAGTGAGTTGCAGGACACAGCTGATACGTTCACTTGGGTTAAATATACCATAACTCCAATTACTGACAGCAGACTTCTAAGCAGATTGCTCTTACTGGCTCCTTTTATTAATCTAATTAGTCAGGCTTACAGCCTCTCAAATGAGAGCAATTAGTTACCCAGGTGCTTTACTAGGCTGTTACATTTTATACAATGGAATGTAATCGACGTGTTGGTAAGAATAAATATTTCCACTGAGGACTAAACATCATTTGCACTGATGCATGCTATTAACAGGTTGCTGCTGCTTGAAATCTGCAATGATCAATACATGGCAGCAAGGCAAATCTCAGCTTTAAAAGTTTGTTTTCAGAAAGTGTTCATATGTGCAACATTTATTTGCATATGTGAGCGAGTGTGCATCAGATCACACAGCTGGAAGCAGTGCAAGACATTTTCTGGTCACAATTTATAACTACCTTCTACATCAGGACAGATCGGGGGCAGTTTTCAACTAGAAGAGCTGCTCCCTGGGGTGTCCAGGTGGGATACGTGTCCCTGGGGGCTGTTTCCCCAAAAACTGAGTGCAGAACATCTGCAGCTCTCCTGCTGGATGTGCAGCCCGCTTAATTAAGTCTGGTCATCTGTAACCCGGCTAAAGGAACTCCTGGCAGTGCGGAACCAGCACCCCTACAGCACACTTTGCTTTCCCTAAAAAACAGAGATTCCTTTCAATTTCCTTTAAACTCCACTTGTACTCATGGATTGTCTACAACAACACAGCTGAGTCAGAACAGCAGCTCGAGGAATTGTCTCCCTAGTAGCACAAAGGAGCTGTGCAGAAAGCTTCCTTACAGCCTCTGGGAAGGCGCAGCCCGGACTGCCTACGTGAGTGCATTCATTGCTACTTTGATGCAGCTGCTTTATATGCATCCAGACACAGATCTGCAGATGTACCAAGTACATGCACCTGTACTTTATTGATATTGGCATTTCAGTTTCTGATTTTGATTATAACTTCATCTTTCTAATTTGGATACGCTAGAGATACAAACAGTGAGATTGAAGCCTGTCAGCAGAGGTGCTCTTACAGGTCACGTTCGATCTGTGCTCCTCTGCCACACAATGCCTGCCCCGTGGCAATCCGACAAAAATAAACTTGTTTCATCTCCAAAATTGAAGAGTCAGACAATTACTAAAATAAACAATTTCTTATTCAGATGGTCACAGAGTGACAAGGTTTGCTGGAAACGCTACAGTCCACAGACAGAGAAGTCTCACTCAGAGCAGGCACAGTCCAGTTGGGCTGAGCAGGCGCTCAGATTAAGGCTGTGTCCCTCACAGAAGAACACATCGGAAAAAGCTGCTTTTCTTTTGCTGGTCTGGTGTGATTTTGACTCCCTGGTTGCTGCCCTGTGGGCTATTGCCTTCCTGAAGATGCAAAGAATTTCAGTTACTTATTTATACTTAACAGCTTCTACTGCCTATATTTCATCTCTACGTTTTGATGAATCAAATCTGTAATTATACAAAAAATATTACTAGAAATCGGCAGGAGCTTTCACTCATTTATTTGACCCTTCGGTTGCATCAGCCTCTGTGAAAAGTCAGAGCTGCACATCCTACTTTTGGCTTTGACCAACAAGCACAGAGCCTGCTCTCCTTTCCATCAAGCCAAAGACAGCAGAGACCACAAAAGTTACAGGACGTGTTTGGTTTGTGCTCAGTACGTCAGGCTGTTGGTACAGGTAGAAGTGATGGGATTTTCTTCATGAAATGAAGCTAACAAAGTGTGAAGCAGACCTTCCATACTCTAACCTTACACCATTCACTTTTCCTGACTGCAGGAGCAAGAAATACCATTAGCAGCTCTCCTCTACCACTCATGTGGCTTTCTAAAAAACACACTGAAAAATTTTGTTCAGAGAACATCAACCACTGCAGCTGATTCGTGAAATGCAGACACAATGGTTTA